GTGGGCTGGGGAGGGCAGACCCACCCTTAATCTGGTGGGCACAATCGAATCAGCTGCCAGCGAATATAAAGCAGGCAGAAAAATGTGAAGAGGAGAGATGTTCTCCCAGCCTACATCTTTGTCCCGAGCTGGATGCTTCCTGCGCTTGAATATCAGACTCCAGGTTCTTCAGTTTTGTGACTCAAACTGGCTCTCCTTGCTCCTCAGCTTACAGATGATCTATTGTGGGACTTGTGATCATGTAAATTAATACTTAATACACTTCTCTTTATATGTATATACACACACACATATACACACATATATATACACATATAAACACATACATATTATATGTGTATATATTATATATACACAATTAGATATACATAATTATATATTATATATAATTATTCTGTCCCTCGAGAGAACCCTGACTAATACAGATAGTATATTAGTCAGGATTCTGTAGAGATAGGACCAGTAGTATGTATAGATAGGTGATAGCTAGCTAGATAGAAAGAAAGAAATTTATTAGGGGAATTGGCCCACATGATTATAGAGGCTAAGTAGTCCCATCCCACAACAAGCCTCCTGCAGGCTGGAGTACCAGGGAAATCAATATATGGTTCAGTCTAGTCCAAAACCCTCAGAACCAGGGAAGCTAAAGGTTTACCTCACAGTCCATGGCCAAAGACCTGAGAACTTGGGGGCCACTGGTATAAGTCACAGACTCCAAAGGCAGGAGAGGCTGGAGTCCTGATGTCCAAGGGCAGAAGAAGAAGGGTACCCCAGCTACAGAAGAGAGCAAATTTGCTTTTCCTCTGCCTTTTTGTTGTATCTAAGCCTGTAGCCAATTGTACAATGTTGACTCACATTGAATGAGAGCACATTTTCCTTACTCAGTCCACTGATTCAAATGCCAACCTCTTCTGGAAGTACCCTCACAGCCACACCCAGAAACAATGCTTCACCAGCTACTTGGTTATCTAGTAGCTACTTGGGTATCCCTTAATCCCATTAACTTGATACCTAAATTAACCATCACAAGTCCACCCCTTGTCAACTTGACATCCCTACACATCTCCTTAAACCATACTTAATCTCCAAATAACAACAATAAGGAGATTATAGCTCCCCCTAGCAAGTTGTACATGATACAACTATCCTCTGTACAACCAAAAACACACTAACTTCTTTCCCAAAAGAGAAGATAAAGTCCTTGATTGATGTTTATTCTTCTCCTTATATCCCATAACTTAAATATTAAAATTTACATGGCTGGGCGTGGTGGCTCACACCTGTAATCCCAGGACTTTGGGAGGCCAAGGAGGGTGGATCACTTGAGGTCAGGAGGTTGAGACCAGCCTGACCAACATGGTGAAATCCTGTCTCTACTGAAAATACAAAAATTAGCCAGGCATGCTGGTACATGCCTGTAATCCCAACTACTCAGGAGGCTGAGGCAGGAAAATCATTTCAACAGAGGGGGTGGAGGTTGCAGTGAGCCGAGATCGCACCACTGCACTCCAGCCTGGGCGACAGAGCCAGACTCCATCTCAAATAAATAAATAAAATAAAATTTACAATACTTAATAATACAGTCAGTATATGTCATGTTACATGACAAAGGAATAAGAGTGGAAAGAAAATAGAGGAATTTGCTTAATATATGTATATATACAAGCATATTCTTAAAAAATATAGAGAAAAAGAATAACAATTACAATTCTCATTTCTGTAACTGGTCACATGGTCATGGGCGGTGTCTATAACTACTTTCTTCTACTACCCTTTCTGTATAATCCTTTTTCCTTCAGCAAGTGCCTCATCTGGTCCTGTTCTTTACCTGGCAGGGTGGCCCAAACTTTCATTCCTGAAGGGTCTAGGCTATTTGTAGTCCTGACTAGACTGCATTGTAGTAATTCTTCATTAACCATAATTACAGGGCATGGTAATTACAGGGCATGGTAATTACAGGTGAAAGATGACCTAAGGGATCTTCTGTAGTAATTCTTTCATCTCTACCTCCATTGTGGAGTAGTAGTCCAATTTCACTTTAGTAGTCCCAATCAATCACCCCAGCCAACACCATAACTCTCTTCTTGGCCTGTACCAAAATATCACATCAACTTCATAATATGTACAGCTGTTATATGTCCATAAAATTTAAAAATAAACAACGAAGAGGAGAAGGATAATATACCTCCCAATGTGAAACAGGCATTACAAATTTTGTAATTTGAGACTTAGTAAAATGGTTCTGTAAAAGCTATGGGCAGTGTTTGTAGGGAGACCACAAGGAAGAGGGCAGCACCACAGGGTGGCGATGCCATGATCACCATGGCATTTAGGGGGACATGATCTCATGCAGATTGGAGGAGCAAAGGAAGGAGTGGTTATCAAAACCCAGGTAAGAGAGGTCTGTGCAGAGACAGCTGTAATGGACGCAGCCAGCTGGGGCACAGCACAGGGAAGGAAACAGGGGAATAAACTCCATCCTCATTCTCCTCCCTCCCTTTGATCTCATTCCAGGACTCCCATGAGCTATACCCAAGCAGAATCCAGTGGGCAACAGAGCCTTTGATGCAGCCCATGAGGGCACAGACAAGGCTGAGCACATGGAGACTGGGTGGGGGAATGCCACATGCACAATTCACCTCATTTGCCTTTTGACTCATAACTCATGGTAACCCAATAGCTGATGAGCATACATTCCTTTACAGCTAATGAATTCGGAAGAAATGATCGAATTAGAATATTTGCTTTCTCAAACCCCTAATGAAATAATGGATGCAGGCAATGATCATCATTGGCAGCTGGAACTATTATTTGGTAGAAAATTTTATAATGGATAGATCATCCTGATAACATCTGAACCCACAGATCAATATTAACATCAACAAAAGGAGACAGACAATAGGCACCTCCTGATGCAATATAATAGCAAGCAAACGCACTACACATACAGCATTGCTGCCAGAAATATTGAGCCTGAACCTAATCAAGACCATGCTTTACTACCAGTTTATAGGAACTACAAGGGACAGAGGAACGTGTTAAACACTCCAGGGCTGCAATCAGCAATATCTAGACTGTGGGATGTTGCACGGGGCAAAGAATCCAGTTTTATTAATAGACACTTTGCAAGATATAAAAATAGGGAAGAGGAAACCTACAGATAGATTTGAGACACAACCAATCTATGTCTGGACCTTTTGTGAATCCTAATTCCAACAAACTCCCTGTAAAAACTTTTCTGATTTGAAATGAGAGGTTTGAATGCTGACTGGATAACTTGGCAATATTAAAGAATTACTGATTTTCAGGTATAAGTAACAGTATTATGGTTATGTTTTTTAAATTTTTATTTTTTTAATTTAACTTTATGTTTTGAGATGGAATTTCGCTCTTGTTGCCCAGGCTGGAGTGCAATGGCAGGATCTAGGCTCACAGAAACCTCTGCCTCCTGGGTTCAACCGATTCTCCTGCCTCAGCCTCACCAGTAGCTGGGATTAAGGTGTTAACCACCATGCCCAGCTAATTTTTGTATTTTTGGTAGAGACAGAGTTTCACCATGTTGGTCAGGCTAGTCTCGAACTTCTGACCTCAGGTGATCCGCCTGCCTCGGCCTCCCAAAGTGCTGGGATTACAGGCATGAGCCACCATGCCTGGCGGTTATGTTTTCTAAAAAAGAATCAATGTGTTTTGGAGACAAGTAGTGTAGGATTTATGTATGGTGTCTAATAATTGACTAAAAATAACTCAGTGGGGAGAGTGCGGAGTGGGTGAAGAAATGAACGAAACAAGATGGACTGTGTGTTGGCAATTTCGAAGCTAGGTTATTAGTACTCACAAGTTTGCTATACTAGTCTCTCTACTGTGTATATTTTATTTTTTCCCTAACAAAGTATGTCGGAAAAAAAATTGCATGCAGAGGCTGTGAACTGTCTGTTACACAATCTCATGACCCATAATCAGCATTCAGGGACACAGGGAAAGCAGGAGCCCCGGGAGTTGGAGATGTCTACCCTGGAAGAATAAAGGCCTCAAGTGTTTCCAGCACGGTGCTCGTCACAGGTTCCCCGTCCTTGCAAAGCTGTTCGCCTCTCAGAGGCCCCTCAAGGAAACAGAGAATCCCCAGTGAGACAATGAGACTAACCGGGATTAAGCTTCTCTGTGAAATCGAGAGGTCATAGTTAGGGGAGTGAATAGGAAAATGCCCATTCAGTCACTGCATTTGGCAACAGGATAGGAGGCAGAGCAGGAGGGTATATCACTTCAGTTGTGAGGCAAATGTATTATTCATTGGTACAGGAAAGGCATTTGGGAAGGTGATCAAATGTGTATGCTTTATAAAGTCACATGCTCAGAAAACTCTGAAGAGCAGATATTTTCCTCTTTTTGAAACTATTTTATAACAGCATAAACACTGAAAGGAGTGAGCTCAGTCTATGTGCACCCATTTTCATATACCTTAGCGAGAGAAGGTTGAGTTCATTTATTAAAGTCAATTAATTTTTATTCAAGGAATTTCATGTTGTGATTTCTTCCACTGCCCATCAAGGTCACTTTAGATGCTCTAAAGAGCTGGAATCAAAATTAACCATTTTCAAAAATGACCTTCAAGTCAGCCCTTTTACATGAAACAGACATTTATTTTAATCCAGTTGTTCCGTCAGCCCATAATTCTTTTACTTTGGCTTCTGTCATCTCCTTTTAATATGGATATACTGACAAAGACTTCAAAACTCACCAATAATCTTCGGGATCTGATTTCTTCTACCAATTTACTTTAGGGTCATTTTCAGTGTAGGTGGATCTGCCTGGTTCTCAAAGTGACACCTTCTCTAAATATGAATGAGTTCAAATTGTATTCATTCCTAAGTGATCAAATTCAAGAATAGTACAGATGTGTGGAATATGCCAATACCTAAGGTAAAAAAGTAAAATAACAGGTCTTTACTAAGACAGTTAATAAACTAAAGACAGTTTAGTAACTGTCTTTTTCATACTTTAGCAACTGCCTTGTGGTTCCTTCCCACAGGTCTAACAAAAGTCCTGTGAGTAAAGTAAAACCACAGAGTTACTCTGTGACGCATTTCCAACAACATGCAGGCTACAGGAAAAGCCCTATCAGGATTAGACCTCAACGGAATGTTGAGTTTAAAAAGCAAGTCACCAAATATCACTTATGTAAAATTTATAAATATACTAAACAATAAACTACATCAATGTTTCTCTTTTTTGGGTTTAGGAATCTCTTATTCTCCTAAAATTATTGAAGATCCAAAGAGATTTATTTCATTTGGGTGGCATTTATTAATTTTTTCTATATAAGAAATTAAAGCTGAAAAAGTTTTGAAACACGAGAATGCGGGTATTCATTTCCTTAGGCAGCAGAGCAGTTACATCTTTAGGTAGCTCCACTGTATCCTCATGAAAGAATGAGAGTAAAAAACTTTCAAATAATGTCTTAGTATTATTAAGTGAATATATTTTATCTTATTTCCCCCCAAAAGAGTGAAACCATTTTATCTTGCTTTCACCCTTTTGTGATCCAGGGATCACACTTTGAGAACCAATTCACATATGGTTTAGAGATATAATTTATTTAATACATTTAGTAAAATCATAAAAACGTGTCTTGGCAGGGCACCCTTTATAAACAAAGGCTAAGTTATGCTGCAATAACAAATAACGCCCCCCTTTTTTCCCCATCCTACTATGTCACATATCCATCGGCCACAGCATGGCACCAAATCCTCTTCCCTCTGGAATCAGGCAGATAAAGCAGACACTCTCAGAGTTTGCCAGGCCCATGGCACATGGAAAAGAAAAAGTGAAACCACTTCTGCTGAAAGGGACAAGGATCATTTATGCCCACATTTCCCCGGCCAAAGCAATTCACACAGCCAATCCGAATGGCAGCAAGGTGGAGAAACTCCTCCTCCCCCAGGGAAGGGCAGCAAATACTTTTCACAAAAAGTTGTCCTCCCCACACCAATGTCAAGGTTAGCTTTGGGTCGATAAGGAGGTAGGATGGGGTAATGACAATTTTTTAAGTAACAGTAATAAAATAATAGAGTAAAAGAAATCTTTATAAAAAACAGAATTCTGAACCAAAGCAAACAAATAAAAAATGGTACAAACCAGAAGTGTTCTCTTTGTGACTGCAATTGACTTGACCATACTCCTCGAAATGATTTTAAATTAGGCATCATTGGCTCAGCCATAGACATTATGACCCAATGGTAATGAGGCAGAGATTGTGCATGGTAATATAGCTTAGAGGAAAATAAAGGATCATTATCTTTTTGATTGTTTTATTTTATTTTATTTTTCAGTCGGAGTATCACTCTGTCGCCCAGGCTGGAGTGCAGTGGCGCAATCTTGCCTCACTGCAACCTCTGCCTCCCAGGTTCAAGCAATTCTCCTACCTCGGCATCCCGAGTAGCTAGGACTATAGGCATGCACCACCACACTCAGCTAATTTTTGTACTTTTAGTAGAGACGGGTTTCACCATGTTGGACAGGCTGGTCTCGAACTCCTGACCTCAGGAGATCCGCCTACCTTGGCCTCCCAAAGTGCTGGGATTACAGGCATGAGCCACTGTGCCTGCCCAGATCATTGTCTTTGAATCTACACCTCCTGTCTTCAGTTTCTAACCATGGGTCGTTAGCCACATCACTCAAGGTATCTATGCTTTGAAATGGGGATTATAATGATACTTGCCTTTTAAGGTTGTTGATAGGTAAGTCTTATAAGAAAAGACTTGGTCTATCCAAGTGCTCAGAATAATGCTTAACTTAGAGGAAGTCCTACTTAGCCCAACTTCTGAAGCAAGACACAGCAATTAAAGTTGTGACCTTATTTATGTATGGAGAGGTGAGAATTTAGGTAACACTAACATGAGGGTCTAATATTAATAGGCGTCCAATTCCAACCTTGAATGAGAAAGGTAGAATTACTCAACCTGTTGGAATAACTAAGATTTCCCTGAATTTCTGTATCTGTGAGATACAGGTATGTTTTTCTGAGAGTAGCACTTTGGAGAAGATGGATAGGATTTGTGACAAAATCATGGGGGAGACATTATGACATTTTTTTCAAACATGTTGAAAACCAAACCATTAGCTCCCAAACTCCAAGGCCATGGGTGACAGATGAGGTTGTTGAAAGGTTTTGCTGGTTTAACAGAATAGTGGGAGCTCTGCTTCTTGTTAGGGTATAAAAGGTTGTAAAAAGCTGTTGCTCGCAATATAACAATGAGGAAATCTTGATTTATTCCAATCATCACACATGACAACCATTAGAGACCTGAAAATGCAAAGAAGTCTAAACGCACAACATTCTAGGGAGGGACGAGCCCATCCAAGGCAATAAAAACCTGCAACTGCTTTTATCTCTGGGATATGGTGGGAAGAACAAGCCAGCCATAAGCAGGGAGGACTTGGCTCTTGGCTGAGATAAGAAGAAACCAAAGAAATCTTGAAGGACCCTGTAGACCAGGTGTGATGGATTCAAACCCAGAAGCACCCCCAAAGTACACTCATCTACATGCCCCATAAATCCTTTTGTTCAGACATTTCACCTCCAATACAGAGTGATGGCTGGGCACCTGGGACAGGGTAAGATGGCAGAGAGAAGGAAAGGTCCTGTGGAGTCGGAAGCTGGGGGAGGCTACAACACGGATTTCTTCCAAGGCACGGGAAGCTGGAAATGAGCGAGAAAGCTTAGGGAGACCTCAGAGTCTTAGCTCCCTATTCCTAATGAAAGGAGGGCCCTGGCTGCTACGTTTGAAATATATGAAACCTGTGGTAAACTGAAATTAATTAAACTGAAATTAATTAAATCTACAACCCAGACCAGAACCAGCTCATCTCCAGACTGATGGGAAAATAGAATTACACTGCTGTAAGTTTCTTATACATTTTTTATAAAGTTTCACAATACTATTCACAAATAGATTATAATAAGTTAAAAGTCCATGACCTCGAAAGACAACAGAAAAAAATCTCCAGATACTTTGAAATTAAATAATACATCTTTACATAGTCTATGGTCAAGAAGGAGAGCCAAGGAAATTTCAAGAAGTACACATAGAGTTGAATAAGAATAAAAAGATAATAGATCAAAATATGTGGGAAGTAGCTAATGCAGAACTGAGGGGGATCTTATAGCCTTAAATGCTTATGTTAGAAAAGAGGAAAGCCCTCAAAACTAAGTTTTCCCCTCAAAAAACTAGAAAAATATTAGCCAAAGAAGCCCAAAGCAAGCAGAAGGAAATTATATAGGTGAGAACAGAAATCAACTAACCTGAAAACATAAAAATAGAAAAAAATAATAAAACAAAAAGCTGCTTCTTCAAAAATATCAATGTCACTCTAGCAAGACTGGCAAAATTAAAACAGAAGAGACACAAATCAACAATATCAGTAATGAAACTAACCACAAAGCCCATAACCATTAAAATGACAGAAAGGGAATATTAAAATCAATTTTATGCTCATAAATTTGACAATGTAGAAAAAATGGATCAATTGCTCAAAAACCAAAAATTACCAAAATGCAACCAACATGAAATAGATAATCTAAGTGCTTCTAGTAAAGAAAACTATTTAAAAATGGGATTCATAATTTAAAAGCTCCTAAGAAACAACTTGCAGCTCCACTTCACCTCCCTGGAGAATTCTACCAAATATTTAAAGAACCAACAGAAATTTTACACGATTTCTTCTAGAAAATAGAAGAGAAAGGAACACTTCATAATTCATTTTATGAGGCTGACATGAAAACAAGATAGAAACAGTATCAAAGAAGAAAAATATAAACATTTTTCAGAAACTTTGACACAAAAACCATCAACAAAATATTAGCAAATACAAAAATGTACAAAAACGTTTTAAAATAGTGATCAAGTGTGATGCATTCCAGGAATGTAAGGTGAGTTTGATATTTGCAATCAATTAATGTAATCTGCCATGCTAACAGGCTAAAGAACAGAATGAAACAAAAATGAATTTGACAAAATTTAGTACTGACACATGCTAGAGACCCCCTGAATTAGGAATACAGAACTAAGTGACCTTGATAAAGAGCACCTACAAAATCCTACAGCTGACATTGCACTTAATGGTGACAAACTGAATGGTTTTTTTCTAAGATCAGGAGGCAAGAAAGAATATCGCCTCTCAACACTTGTATTTAACATAGTATTGGAAGTTTTATCTGCCACAATAATGCAAGAAGAGAAAAGCAAAGACATGCAGAAGAGAAAGGAAAAGATAAGGCTACCTCCAATTGCAGATGACATGATCATCTTTGTAGAATATTCCAAGGAATATACAAAAATAAAGGTCTAGAACTAAAAGTCAGTTCAGCAAAGTTAACAGAATACAATATCAACACAAAAAATATTAATCACATTGCGTCCAGAGTTGGTTCCTTCTGGAGGATTCTTGGTCTCGCTGACTTCAAGAATGAAGCTGCGCCTACCTTGGCGGTGAGTGTTACAGCTCTTAAAGATGGTGTGTCTCAAGTTTGTTCCTTCAGATGTGTCTGGAGTTTCTGCCTTCCGGTGGGTTCGTGGTCTCACTGACTTCAGGAATGAAATCGGGGACCTCTGCAGCGAGTGTCACAGCTCTGAAAGGTGGTGTGAACCCAAAGCGTGAGCAGCAGCAAGATTTACTGTGAAGCGTGAAAGAACAAACGTTCTGAAATGTGGAAAGGTAGCCCACCAGATTGCTGCTGCTGGCTGGGGTGGATAGCTTTTATTCCCTTATTTGTCCCCACCCACATTCTGCTGATTGGTCCATTTTACAGAGCACTACTTTGTCCATTTTACAGAGTGCTGATTGGTCCATTTTACAGAGTGCTGACTGGTGCGTTTGCAATCCTTTAGCTAGACACAGAGCACTGATTGGTGCGTTTTTACAAAGTGCTGATGGATGCGTTTACAATCTTTTAGCTAGACGCAGAGCGCTGATTGGTGCGTTTTTACAGAGTGCTGATTGGTGCATTTACAATCCTTTAGCTAGACACAAAAAATCTCCAAGTCCCCACTTGACCTGGGAAGTCCAGCTGACTTCACCTCTCATTATTTCTATATATTAAAAATGAGAATTAATGAGCAGAAACCAAAATTAAAGAC